AAGTTTTTAATCGACTACAATTATTGGATGGGATTATGTACCTTTCAAATATCCGTAACAATGTCCCCATGAAAGGCATCATCATTTAATATAACGTCAACATCAAAATCAAGATCCCAATTAAATTCATCATTGAGTACTTCCTCCGTCTCCTTACTTTTAGTAGCTTCATTACCAACTTCATTCTCTTTATTATTCTTGGCATCCTCCGATCGTGCACCATTCTCCGCAACATCTTTGACCTCCAATGACTCCTCGTCATTGTTATTCTTAGATGGAATAATCTTCTCCGTCATCTCGTCAGGTACAGATACAAATGTACGTTCGGAAATATTTGGTGTGTGATCCTTTTTGCCATTTGGATGAGAATATGCGCAATCAGGCCTCCGGCAATTATATCCGAATTTACACTGAATGGGAGAAATACAGTATATAGTTAATATATAATACTATACATATATATTTATTTAAGCATTTTATATACCGGAATATTTGTACTGTCTGTTTCCATATTCCACGGGTGCATAAAATGACAATCTTGTCGCGTACAATGAGCTCCATTACGACAAGGCGTTGGTACTTTAACGGCATTACCACTATAATAAAGTTGTGTTAATTATATAAAAATACGTTACTCTGGTTTATCAAAATCTACATACCTATTATCAACATGCAAATATGGACACACCGGATTTTGACAATTAGGGTAAAATCTACAAGGCTCTTGAGTAACCGCTACTATATTATGATATAATAAAAACATTATTATTTCAAAAAAAAAAACAAACCATTTAGCAACAAATAATACATACAATTGGCAGGAGATGGATGTGAGTAATGGCACTTTGGATTTGCACACTCAGTTCCATATTTACAAGGCACATCCAATATAGGTGATGGTACCGTACCAGTCCCAACAGCTGCAGGACTAGAATGTGCATACATACAATTAGGATTCGCACAATGTTCACCATATTTGCATAAAACTGCAAGAGCTTGGGAACTTTGCGGTAATGGTGTAACGTCCGCATCCTGAGAAGACGTCCCTGTAGAAATATTTCTAGAAGTAGTGATTGAAGCGATCGTATTAACTGTTGTGATAGAAGTTGTCGAGTTTACGGATCCAGCACCAGATTTAGGTTTCTGTTCTATATCACGCTGACCTTGGATATTTAACCCTTGTACAGATCCAACTTTATTAGGAACACCTTGTTTAAGAGAATTTTTACCATATAAACTTGTTCCATATGAACTTTGTTGAATGTTATTCTGACTGAATGAATTAGGTCCGAATACATTCTGTCCCATTCCGCTAAATCCTCCCACGCTCTGTCCAACTACGAAATGATTCATTGGATCTTGTCCGATTGGGCCAAATCCGAGAGAACTTGGATCAACCGAACGATTTCCAAAGCCTATTTGCCCACCTGTGCCATTGCCAAATGAATTTTGTCTATACAAGCCACCTTGTTCATATGTGTTGAAGTCTTGATTTGCAGGATGAATGTACAAGCAAGTTCGTGGTGAATTTGGGCAATTAGGAACCATACTAATGAAAGATAATAGGTTTTAGTGCTATTAGAGTAATTTAATCAAATTTTTTACCCAAATTTAACAAAAACTTACGGACAAATTTCTGTTGGATGATGAAATTTACATTGAACACCAAGATCACAATTAGGCCAATGACGACAGCGAGAAATTTTAGATGTTAATGTGGTATTGCTATTGGGTTGTGCAGGTATAGGGGTGGCGTTTGAATTTTGAATAAATGCAGGATTGATGTAAGCAGTCATCAAACCCCCCTTTTTCCCTAATCGATCTAAAACACTCCTCGGTTGTTGAACCTGCCGTGTACTTTGTTGTGAAAGGCGTCGTTCATTAACTGTTAATAATAAGGATTCATTATAAAACTGTTCAATTAGAAATCTACAGCGTAGTT